ACAACACACTACTTACTCGTATGTTTTATTTCAAAGCCCCCTTCGCGCCAGGCTCATAAAACTCAAGAAACGCGAGGAAAATCAAAACATGATCCAATATTTAATTTTCAGCATTTTTCGATTATCAAACAATTAATTAAATAGTAATCAACATAAAATATATAATTAAACCGTAAAAATAATTCCATACATCATAAAAAATGTTGTTAATTTCAAATTTATTACAATTAAAAAAAAAAAAAAATAATTTCGGTAAACTGGTATGTTGTTTGCAAAGTAACTGATTGTTCCAACATAGTTGTTAGGGCTCGTATGCATTACTTTTCATTAAAAGCCTTTGGCAAGGACAAAGAAGATTCATAAACACAAAATGTTTATACGTTTCAAAAATTATGAAAAATCATAGATGATTCCATACTCAAAATAAGTTTGGTTGTGTTTATATTCTTTGGGAATTCGACCAAGAACTGCTAGTAGTTCTCTAGAAGGTCTTCCGGCCTTACGCAGTTCAAGTAAAACTCTCCGCTTTTTCGTCTAGATATAATGTTTTACTTGATACGTTTTGGCAGTGTTTTGATAGAGCACATCAAACTGTTCGAAAACAAATTCATGAAGAGACAAATGTAAAATTCCACAGAAAAACAACTTTTGATGTTACCTTAATTTTAAATTTTCCGCAACATTACCATTTTCGTTCTCTAAAAGCTTTATTAGCAGTATTTACATTTAAAATATATATCCAAATCAGTCGAACATTTTCTATGGTGCTAATGCACTTACCGACAATTAGATGTAAGTTCTAATATTCCAAGCAGTTTTATGAATAATACATATATCATATATCTTTTGTAATATTGATGTGTAAAAGAAGTGGTAAGTATTTCTGGTTTTTGTTCTGCAATTGAAGGGGGCTTATTGTAATAACATGATATGCCACAAATCCATAATTCTGAATTATTAGACTTCGCACTTTCGAAAAAATGTGTAAATTTAATTATTATTAATCAATTTAACTCGCTATGTATTTATCTCGGTATTTATCTATATAACAAATTTGTTGGATAAAAGCCTAAAGAACACTAGTTAGTAGTTTAGAATTTAGAATGCGTGGGGGGAGAGGGTTAATCACCGCGATCTTACAGATCTATTGTGTTCCTCTTTCTTGAGTTATAACTCATCATATAGTCCCAGGGCTTTGACAAAAGCCAGTATCTAGGACGGTTTTACGGATCTACGGGACGGTCTTTACGGGACGGTTTTACGGATACCCCATCTCCAATATCAGTCGTACCAACGATCATGGTACGACTGGTTGTTGTCTCGGCGCACTCAGTGATGAGGTGTTCTGGTGTTTCCCCATTTTCCCCACAGAATCTGCATTCGCCGTTTTTTCTTAATTTAAATCTACTAAGGTGTTCATTGAGGTGACGCTGTCCTGTTAAAAAACTCCGTGAAAATCCGGAGATTGTTCTTACTTAAATCCAGGAAGATCTTTGATTTATCTTTGTCGTAAGCCCTCAGAAACTTTTTCGAGTGTCATAGACCGTTGCAAGATTCCCATTCCAGGTTGCTGATGGAGTCTTCCAAGTTCTTGAGTTCCGCTTTTAGTTGGTTACCACTTGAGCAGAACGGTGCTGGTCCAGTTAGTGGTGTATTCGCTCCTTTTCTAGCTAGATTATTTGCTTTTTCGTTGCCTTCTATCTCTTGGTGAACAGGCACCCAGAGTAGGAGGACTCTGTTTCCTTTGCCTAATTTATTCAGCTTCTACAGGGTGAGTTTTTTACGATGTTCTCTATGGGTATCTCGGAAACTACTGGTGATAGAGAGTCGGGTAAATGGGGAAACAATTGCAGTTTTGTGGGGTCATAAATATGCGCCTTTCAGATTTTTCAAAAAGTTTATGGCTTACTAGATATTGCGAAAAAAAAAACAAATTTCGGCTATTTTAAAAATTGTCCCTAATTCCATTAAAAGCTATTTTAGACAAAAAGTTTATAGTTAGATAAAAGTTGTAGATAATCACATCCTTAATGAGATTGTGTCCTCCGTTTTTTTCTAAAGCCTGTCATTTTTGACATATGATACAAATATATGTTTTTTTTTTAAATGGAAACCATAGTTGGCCATGACTTCATAAAAAATGCCATTTTTTAAGCTTTTTGGTGATATAAGCTATAATATATTTTCTTCGAAAAATTACTGAGTTATAGCCAATTCTTATCATTTTTAAACAATTTCACTTAGTTAGCCATGGAAACAAGTTCAATCGTCTTTGCTCTCATAAATGTGAAGCTGTCACATCCAAACTTTGTAAACTAAAATAAACAAAAATTGTAAATATGAATTTTTCGAATGAAGAAAATCGTGTAGATACTCGCGCATCAATAGAGTGGTTCAAACATGACTTTCATTGATTTTTCCTTAGGATGGTGTGTCATCACCACCCCCCATCACAACCAAACCACCCCCATAATGAAAGAAATGTTAAAAATTATTTATATCATAATTATGCAAACGCAGGGATAGGAAGAGGTAGACTAATTGCATGGGCCTCCTCGATCACTTGATCTATCCATTTTAGAATTTTTTATGCGGTATGATTAACAATAAGGTTTACAAAAGAACTTATGAATTAAGAGAGACACTCGAAGTGGCAGTACGAGAAAAGTTTAATTAAGTCGACCGGTCCTTCTGTGAGAATAGGTAGTAATTCAGTTTTAAAAAGATGCAACTCTCAAAACAATGGCGGATTTTTTGAATATTTTCTAAAATAACTTAAAGTGTATGTAGTGATATTATTTTTTTAAGTTTTAGTTTGTGTAATGTAAATTGTAAAGAACCGTTTAGTAATATATTTTAACTTTTTATAAATTATAAATCGTAACAGAATAAGAATACCATGCAATCTAAGTGAAATTAGTCAAGAAAGATAAGAATTGGCTATAACTAAATTTAACTTTTCTAACATGTCTTGAAAACCGTTCTCTAAAAAACGTAGCATTCACTGTATATGCTATTCTTTGACCAAATTCGAATTGATTGATACTGAGTTGATCGCTTTTAACGCTGCTTGACTATTAGATAAGATGGCTATTTCTTGTTTCCGATAGTTCTAAGATAAGTTGTACGCATATTTCGATAGCGTAGATTTCTGCCTGTAGGATGCTAGGGTAGGTGCCCATTGGTTCGAAGTATTTAGTTCTCGGCCCAAATACTCCGATCCCTGTTCCGGCATTGGTTCCAGCATGAGTATACCAAGTTAAGGTATGGTCTTTTAACTGCTGAGCAGACGTTTCTCTCTTCCAATCCTTTTTATTGCTCAATACTACATTGAGGTGTTTCTCAAAGTTATACATTCTTGGCATATCGTTCACTGGGAGTTGCAGGAGTGGTATTTTGAGGGTGTTCCAAGCCCCTGATCTGAAAATTCTCCCAGTACTGATTTAGTTAATAGTTAGTAAAACTGATTTCTGGTTGTGGCTTGTCATGTTATTACAATAAGCCCTTCAATTCATAAATTTTATAAAGTGACTAATTATATTAAAAAAAGTTTTATATTTTTGAAAATCTATAAATTGCACGAGGTGATGAAATTAACAGAGTACAAATAGTTTTCGTTGCAAACAATTTTGCTCCTTTTTAAGACACTTGACGTCACCTATTAGCATTTTCATCCTAATCGATGTTAAATTGTCAACGTAAGGTGCATTTGTGTAAGTATAGATATGTAAATTCAAATTAACGCTTTACTAAAATAATTATCTGAAAATGTATAAAAAGATGCTCTGTTAAACGTGAATGTAACAAATAAATGATAAAAATAGTTCCAAATATAGATAATTATAAACTAAACTTATTTTACTTAAAATTAAAAAAAAAGGTTATAAATAGTTTACAACAAGGTGTACAGGGTGTCCCATTTTTGTGTGTTTTTTGAGGTTTCTCGTTTATGAGTAGAGATACAATACAGGGCGAATTTGAAATTGTTGCTTTTTTTGACTCGCCTCGTATTTTTGTTATCTTATAACTTATCGAAAAGGTGAAAACTGTGTCCTGTAAAGTATTTTACGTAGAAACCAGTGGCGAAACTAGTGTTTCGCCGGGAGCTGTATATATGGCTGTCATTCGCCTATGTCAAAAAGTAAAATAATGCATTTTTTCATCTTGCTTATGAAAATAAGTATAGATTATATAATATTTTTAGAAAGCCCATAACAAGGCAAATAAAACAAAAACATAATATAGAGGGTATCTCATTAAAAAAAAGTTTGGGTCATATTTCAAGAATGACAGCTCGCAAAAAAAATCTAGTTACACCACTGAATTTTAAGTGAATAACTTTATGGGACTCTGTTCGCTCATCAATGCAGGCTCTATCGACTTAAGTACGTGTTGACAGGCAGGTTATTGAACACATGTTGCTTCTAGCATGTCGTTTTTTCAAATATGGGTTCCATATAAACGCGGCCAGAAGTATTTTCAATACTAAAACTGGTGATTGTCGACAACCGCCGAATTGTGTCTGGTATTTTCAATACGCCTATGATGGTTGCACATGTTGCAAAATCCGTGAATTTTTTATTTATTTTTTTATTTATATTTATATTTATTTATATTTTTTTTACCACTTGCCAAGTTTGTAGGGTGACCTTGATATGGTCGATGACCGCGGTTCGGATTCCGCATAAACAAACTAGACCCCATCCACATTATCCTTAGCAGCAAGACGTTAAACGCTAGACGTTAAACGCTAGACGTTAAACGCTAATTTAAGTTTGAACTTAGAAATTCTTTTAGGAAAAGTTTGGCTTTGTGAATTTTTAACCGTTTTTTAACTTTGTTATTTTTAACCGTTTTAAACAGTGTTATAAGCAATCACAAAGAATCAAACAGTATTTATAGACAGTAGGTATTATGCATAATAAAAACCATTATGAAATATACATATATATTCTTTTTATTTATTAATGTTAATAGTTTACAGTAAAATAAATGTTAAAATAAATATTTGAATTTGTACCTCTAATAAAATATTTTATAGTGCTAAATAATCTTTTGTAGTGTATGTAGTGCTTATAGTAGTATATGAGTAGTGCTTATACCTATCTAGACTAGAAAATATAAACAGTTATTTCATGAACATGTTTTACAATTTGTTTATAGCAGTAATTTCTAGGGGTTTTAATTTTTAATAGATACGAAACATATAGAAATATCTAATACAACTATATTACTTAAACGTTACTTTTGTCGTAAATAAACTAATCTTCATTTTCTGCAACCGGCGAAGTTGCTTTATCAACACCATCTATTCCCTCTTCGTTTTCTTTATTTCCATCTTCCTCATCTTCATCGTCTTTTGATCCATCAGCATCTTCTTCTTCTTCACTTTCGTTATTGACATCATCCGTAGCACCCACCTCCTCCCCAGTTTCTTCTGCATTGATATCAATTGTACCGGAAGTGTCAGTTTCCGTTCTGACAGAGAGAGCTTGATCGTCAACTTGATCTGGTTGTGCTTTTGTTCTATTTCCTCTGCCTAAAATGTCAACTTTACTACACAATTTGGGCGATGTCCAACAATATACCTTTCTTTCTGGATTTCTTTTTTAAATATGTAATGATCTCCGCTTCTGGGACATTGTAACCTGGCGGAAAGAAGTATTTGCAATCGAGCTCGCCAATGTCAACATCTCTACTCATATATGAAGGTCCAAGTTCCTCAAATTCGCCAAAAGCATCGGGATTGATTTTTGCAAGTTGGATTACAATTTTTTCTTCGCTAAAATCAAAATATTTATGAAAGAACTGTACTGGTTCATAGTTTTTGATAATTGGGATTATACAACTCTATAGAGAAATTAAAATAACTTTGGTTGCAAATCACAACACGACTACCAGCAAACTCCATAAGACGACGCATGGTGTCATTGATGACGTGCAACGAAAGTTGTTTTAATTTCCCCATATGTATATTTTTCCAATATAGAAGGATGTGATTAATAAGTGATAATCATTTAAGTGATTATCGCTTGGTGGTCATATTGTAATTGTCATTTTTTGAAATAATAACAGATATTAATTCAGAAGTCATTTCGTCTGGGTTCCACAAAATATCCCGTCAATTATTATTACAAAATGGCAAAATAAGAAGGATATATTATGTACTTTATTTCGTTGTATAATTTTTTCAATACAACTCGATGTTTCGGGATTATGATTACCTAATACTTTTGCCTGCCACTCAATGCGATACCGCCAACATTACGACTCCGAAGGAGGGGTAACGCATTTCGTGTCAGGTAAAAGTATTATTCGGTAATCCCGAAACATCTTGTGGTATTACTACATTCGATAATGAAACATAAAATAAAAAAAAAAATAATAAACTTTTTTAACTTTTTACGAATTTTGAGCTGCATGTTGGTTTTTAGCCTCTCAACTTCTATACAGTCACGTATACTTAAATATTTCGGTCACGTTATGAGGAGGGATACTGACTGTATGGAAAAACTTATTATACAGGGCAAGGTTCCGGAAAGAAGACCACGATGCCGCTCGCCCTCCCGATGGATAGACCAGCTATCAAAGATCACCCACAAGCCACTGCACACGCTTATACATGAAGCACAAGGCAGGGAATTATTAAGACAAACCTCACACATCACCTGACCTGATTACATTCCTCTTGTAGGAATAAAGACAGAGAGGGAGAGTTGGCTTTTACAAAAACGCCCGAAATTCGGATGCATGACTATACAGGGTGGTCCGAACTGTATTCCGGAAACATCGTCAGCATATTCCGCAGATAAAAGTAAGTAAAAAAGTTTGTATAAATGTATGCCATAAAATGCTTAAATTCGGAAATACAGGGTGTAGAAGTTTCATTTATAGGTACTTCGGTTTTTTCCAAATAATTTCTGAAGTACCAAGTCAATATTTGGGTGAAAATTGGTGTCTATATTTTCTCTTTACCATTTTCCAGATGTCAAAATTCAAGTACAAAATAACCTAGTTATTTAAGTTTGAAAATTTAAAAAGAATTTTTTTTTTAAATTTTGAGAGCTACCGGAATTTTTCTGTATTTGCATCCCTTTTATTGCCGTAACCATAGAGTAAAGCCGTAACTATGGTAATATCAGAGATTAAGAAATTATACCTTGGAAAAATTTGCGGTGAACACACAGTTCTAAAAAGTTTTCGAGAAATATACAGGGAAATTTAAAAGGAAATGCACGATTTTCAACATCTTTTTTTTAGCGAAAAAAACCTCATAGACGTGTTTCTGTGGTCGAAATATACCACCCTTGAAAATATTTGCACTTATTTAAGACTCACCCTGTATAACGCTATTGAGTATACTGATAATTAGAAGATATTCTTCAGAAGTTATATTCCAATTTAAAATATAAATTGAGACGCCTATACATTTCCAAAAGAAAATATATCCAATTTTTTTTTAAAGAAAATATTTACATGCAAAATTTGCTTTACATAATCTTAGTTATTTTTTATGGAACATATTTAGATTTAAATAATTTTAATGTAGAATGTAAACTTACTACGTTACTGGAGATGTTCTGCTTTCAAATTTGTCTGTTGTTTTGCCTAATAATTTTGCATCTCCTGGAATATCACTCGAAAAAAAGCCAAAACTCATTACCACACCGGGATATTTTTCAGAAAGATCAAATACATCTCTTGCTAAAACAACACATTTAGGATTTTAGTTACTTTATATCCAAAATACCGGGTGTGCGTCTCGAAAGTGGCTCACCCCTATAACTTTTTTATTTTTTCAGATAAAAAAAAAACAATATTTTGGTATATTACCTAGTATACGACATAAATTAGGATTGATTGGCGCAATCAATTGTTTTTGGTCACTTCCTGTTTCACCGGAAATGACTACAACTTTTGATTTTTAAATGGCATCCTCGGTATATTTCTACTTTATTTGATAGAAAATGACACTCTGAATAGAATGGCATATATGTCAACTTTTGACATTTTCGTTTAAAAAAAATCGTATTTTAAATATTAATCCAAAGTGCAATGGCGGTGTTAAAAACACTAATTTTCAATCAAGAAGGCTTAGAAAAATAGTTTTGATCGACTAATGTTTTTCGTGTCTTATAATGGCCGGTTAAAGGATGCCCATATCGTAAACATACGATTTGGGCATCAAGAACAAGAGTGGCTCATTAGATAATTTAGAAAAAAAACATTTTTTTACGAATAATTTGGTACCACACACTTGGCATTTCGAGTCAAATTGTCGTTCTGAACCGCATGTTACAATTTCAAATAAACCATATGCGAAAATGTCAAAAGTTGACATATCATATGTTATTCTATTCAGAGTGTCATTTTGTATCGAATAAAATAGATATACAAACCGAGGGTACCATTTGAAAATCAACAGCTCTAGTTGTAGTAATTTCTGATAAAACAGGAAGTGACCAAAAACAATTCATTGCGTTAATCAATCTTAATTTATGTCGTATACTAACATATTAAATCTCGTTTTTATCTGAAAAAATAAGAGAGTTATAGGGGTAAGCCACGTTTGACACGCGGTATATTTATATTTCATATTCATACTTTTAAAAGCATCATAAGCCACTGCAACATGAAGAGGAATCTCTTTGATGACTGGAATCTTTTTTGGATCACAAATATTCGGAAATAGTAGTTTTAATACTGCAGCCTTGCAGAGAGCATTTGATGGAGCCCAAATACCTAAATTATTTTGAACCAGTTTAGTATTTCAGAAATGCTAATTATTTTATATTTACCTAGCAACACTTGGTCAGGATTGTCTTCAACTTCCACTTTTCTCAATTTGAAAGCTGGCGATTTTTCATCTCCTGGCGGTTTTCTGCAGTTTCCATACACCATCTGCAATACTATGTCATCGATTTGGCCGGAAAGATTTTCGTTGGTTCGTCGAAGCAACAGAGCAAACGATATCTTGTTGTTAACAAAATCTTCGATAGTTCTTTTGGGAAATTTGTTTTCGGAGAAAAATAGTAACTCATCCAACATTCCCTCATTTAGGCGAACCTACAAAAAGTTAGTTTGTGTTGCTATTTATTAATATATTCCTAAATTTGAGTCTTGTTTGATGGTTTTGCTTCAAAGAAGTCTGAGATGTTTTTTGAGTTCTGAGTTCTCTGAGTAATATTTGATTTGAAATTGCTAAGAATGAATTTTTTGAAACAGAATCGTACCAAAGTGTAGAACTGCCATCAGTGGCGTCGCCAGATATTTTTTTCAGTGTGGGACTGTTGACGTGTTTTTTTGTACTGGGACCAGGTTTTATTCGGGTGGGCCAAATAATTTACCATATCATAGTTGTTGATTAGTTTTTATGAAAAGCTAAAAAAGGTGTAAATACCCTACAATAAAAAAAAACGACGTCAGGGGTGATGTGGAGGTGAAGATTGCTGTTAAGTAAACTTATATCGGGAATATTATCGATCGTCATTTCTAAGCCAACTGGGCGCATTTTTTTTTCGATCAGACGGTATAATTACAATCAAAAGATATTTATGCTGATTTAGCTTTTTTCAGAAAGTTGTATTTTTTTTAATTTCATTGTATTTAGATAATTGGACTTGAGACGGAAATCAAGTTGAATTTACTTTATTTCTTTAACTTCTTCGATCTCTATTTACAACTGTCGTTTTCGAACTTTTTAGATTAACCTACTGCTTTGCAACTTTTTTGACAACAAATATCTTCTATTTTTTAAGGATTCTATTAACTACGATTGACTACAAACATCAACAAACCATAAAAAGTAAACAATAAACTGAGAAAATTAAAGTTATTTTACATTAGTTGACCACAGATAAGGAAATAGATTATTGGGGCTTTTTGGTTTTACCTTATTAAGTAATTGTTATCAGGTAGTAATTGTTAATTTTGAAGTTTAACTTGATATAATGTCATTTTAACAGAACGTCAACGATTTTTGTAGACGTATCTGTTTTAAAAAACTAAAGTGTTCTCGAATAGTTGAATTTAAATATTTCAAATAGTTTTTTCTTTATTTTTTGTATTTTTTTGCTTCCGACGACGGAAAGAGATAAACTTTCCGAAACTTTAAGCGTTTTTTCCACGGTCCACCCAGCCCCACCTCTCAGCGACGCCACTGGCTGCCATGCCAACATTGGAAAATATTTTATGCAAAATTTACACTCCGTCTCTACTTTAGGAGCCCTGTGTTTAAATCTCCCACTATGTTTATTTTATTTTTGTGTTTTGTTTTTTATTTTTTGTTCCTCTTAGGTTTTATTGACAAATATTTGCCGGACACGTCAACCTCATCTCAGTGTTGTTTTAATATATAAAATGTGAACGTGTGTGGTGTGATTTCAATTGTATTTTAGTAAGTTACCTTTTTATTATTTATTTGGGTTCTTTCCTCTTAGATCTGATGATGATTGTATGAGCGAAACACGTGGTACATGGCTTAGGTTTAATATACAGGTATGAGACCGGGACTTTGAGTATTTTTTATTAATCTAGTAACACTACTAAGGAAAATAAAAAAAAATCTACGAAACTATTTAAATTTCAGAATTCCATCCTTGATAATATTAAATCATCACTTATACTGCATCGTAGTAAACCACTTCTTTATACAGGATCGGGCAATAATGCGAAGGGCATCTGTAGCTCTTAGAATAAAAAACTTGGAAATTTTGTTTAAGTGCTAACCTAAAGTATGTACTAGGATGTATTTCAGGAAAATATTTTAACTTCTACTACCCTGTAGAAGTTTGGTTTGGGTTTGTTTTTCAAAAAAGTGTGAGTGGATCGGGATGATTTTTTTTAAACGGAACCAGATCACTTTACATAATCCTAAGATAAAATCGATCTTAGGATCGATATAAATAAATAAAAAATATATTTTTTTAGCTTTTCTTAAAAAAAATATTAAAAATACAAGAACTGTCCTGAAATCAAAACTATATTACGTATTGACGTTAGATGGTCTGGTTTGGTAGATGGTCTGGTCTTGTATTATCATACTCCCCATATATATTTCAAAAATTAAAAAATGATAATGAAAGAGTTTTTCAATACACACGAATGACTCAAAAGACCTTTAAATATATTTTTGAAAAAGTGGAATATAGATTAATCAAAAATTGATGCAATCATAAGCAACTTATACTTCTGGAAGAGAGGGTTTTTATTACTTTAAGGTTGTCCCAAATAGGTGTATTTTTCAAATACTGTCGCTATAAGTAAATCCTTATCCATATTCAAACGCCGTCGGCGCGTGCAAAAGCAGAAATAAATTAAATTTTCGTTCTGGTAAAAGCGAGAACGCAGATGAACGCTGTAGCTACCTGCTTTAACTGTAAATTAAACGATTTGACAACACGCTTTAATTTTTCAAGCTTATAAGCGCGAGACGGCGCTGGTTGCCGGTAAGCGGAAACCTGCCTCCATTATGTTTATACCCTTACTGTCAAGTTAACAGAGAAACAGAGATGTAGGAGATGCCTTAGAAGAACTGCCAACTTCTCGACACAAACGAGTCTGGATATTTTTTTAAGGGAGATATCGGTTGAGATCGACAACAAAAGACTTTTTACATAACAAGTAAATGTTTACTTAAATGTTATGATACTTAAAATATAAAATAAACTACAATGTAAGGATTCTCAAATGGCTCTTGCAAATTTTATAGAAATACATTAGTGAAGTTATTTTGCATATACAAATATAAAAATTTAAGTGGCAGCTTGTTCCTCTATAGGCGGCATTGGTGGTTCTTCATTTTGAATGGGAGGATCTACAACTGGATCGCCCTGATCAGCTTGATCGGCTTTAGGAACTTCTTCAATTTTAGGACCTTCATCAACTTTAGGGCTTTCACCCACGTTTTCTCCTTGATCAATTTCACTCTCTGATTGCTCTATATTCTCTCCAGAAATTACTTCACCGCTTATCTCTTTTCCTTCTATTTCTTCATCTTAAAATATCGATAATTTAGTTTTATTATTGAAAAATAAAACAACAAAAAAGCACCTTCTACGCCTTCTCCAAGATTTTCCTCAGCTGTCGGTGCCTCATCGATTACATCCTCCATTTCTTTTTCTTCCTCGTCATCCTCTTCTATTTCATCCTCATAACCTTCGGGGAAAAATCTTTCACATTCTGCTTTGCCTTCCTTCACATTAGGAGACATGTATATCGGATCCAGTTGGGCAAAGGCAAAAATGCACTCGCTTTTTCGCTTCGATACCTGGAGAACTAGTTTTTCCGAGCTGTAAATAATGTAGAGTTGGAATAAAAAAATGGAGATTTTTTCGAATAGAAAGGAGCTTAGAAAAGGTTTACAAAGTTCGGTTAGCAGCCTCCAGTTTCTCTAATTGTTTCAATGATTTTGCTATTAATCGAGTATCTTCTGCATTTTCGGTGCTAAAGAATCCTCGTTTCATAATCTCGTTTGGGAATTGGTGCATAATTGGAAACACCTAGCAAAAAAGGAGTATTTTATGATCAAAAACGATTATAATTGGAGTATGCATTCCTGTGTCAGTTATATTGTAGTTTAGATTTAATGACGAAGTACAGTATGTGATATTTAAGACGCGTTAAATCAATTATGATAGGAGTGTCTACAGGATGGCCCACTATCTCTAAATTGGTCTACATAAGGGTCTACTGAGATTTTTACTCTTTAGTTCCGAGTAAATTCATATTATTTATTTGGAACTAAAGAGTAAAAATCTCAGTCGGTTGAAATGTTGTTGAATACGTGGTACATATTTAGATAGTAGCTACTAGTATTAATTGCTAAGAAATGGCGACCAGGAAATGGAAAACCCTTTATTTAAAAAATTGTGGATGTTTCGACGTATATTCTCGTCTTTCTCAAGACTGCATTGCAGAGAAAAAACCTACCTACTTAGACTATTAACTAAACTAACTTTTTAAGTCGGTCTTTTTATAGCTTGATTTTCATGCATCCGTTGTCCGACGATACGATGATACGATACTAATTTTATTGGTTGAGTTTAAAGGCTTCGATTGGTTAAGCGTTTCTAACCAATCGAAGTCTTTAGATTCAACCAATAAAATTAATATCGTGTCATCGTATCGTTGGTCAACGGATGCATGCAAATCAAGCTTAAGTAGTCTACCGATGAGCCTAAAATAACTCTTTTTATGCTCATCGGTAGGAGACTATACGTCTTGGTGTAATCTCGGTCTCGGAATATTTATATCATAAGTTAATACGGTTCAAATTTGTGTAAAGAAAGTTTTTAATGTAAATTGTTTGATGTATAAAAGTTAAAACAATATTCTATACATAAAAAATAAAACGTTTTTAAGTTATTTAAGATTTAGTTTTACAACGTATATTTTTCTTGATTTTATCTAGCTTCCTTTGACATTAGTGTCAAACAGTCAGACAATTTATTTCCATCTGTCAGAAAACGAATTATTTTAATTTCCTATATTATAAATGCTGCCTGCCGTAAGAGTTTAATAAGTGTATTTATAAAAATGTATCTCGTATTTTCGCTCTTTAGTGATATCTAATAGTTCATATTATTAATAATATACCGTATGATAAAAAAAAGCGCAAAGTTGGCTTGTAAATGATGATCGATGACATACTGCTTTTTGAACGAAGTGTTACAATATGACATGGCCAGATCTATTATTTGACGTTTAAAGTCATAGGCATAGGTTAAAATCAAAAAAATATACGCTTTAAAACTAAATCTTAAATAACTTAAAACGATTTTTAAATATTTCTTTTCTCAGAAACGGTTTATGTTAGGTATAGAGTGTTTAATACCAAAATTACTTTACTTTACTTACTTTAATAAAATTTTACAGAGAATTAAGTATGTAATAAAAAATGGAGGTACCCATTTAAAATAAGAAAGTTGCTGTCGACTTCCGGTATTTACGGAAGTGCCGCCATATTGAAAATATTTTCAATCAATAGATCTAGTTGTGAAACAATGATGTGCAAAAAATGTCCAATCTAGATATTGTAGTTTTCTATAAACTTTTAATGGACGCTCAGCCTGGGACACCCTGTATATCGTGCAGAGCCCAATTATAAGCCTTTAACCACAATACGTTAAGTACCATACGATCGAAAAAAAAACGGCGTCAGAGATAAATCGGAAATGAAGATCGCTGTCATTTTGTACGTAAAATTATAGGGGAAACGTCATCGATCGTCATTTTCAAGCCAACTGGACGCCATTTTTCTTCGATTATACAATATTTATTTGTTATAATTTTTGTTTCTACCTCATCTTTTTTGTTCAGAGGAAAAACTACAGCGATATGCTCCGGTTCCGGTTCTGGATCGGGAATATGGAACTCTTGAGTGACTTTTGGGAAGAACAATTTCAAAGCAGTTGCTCGTACCTCCGGCGTCGGAGGTACCCATATACCATTTTTTTCTTTTACAGCTGAAAGTAATTTTGTTTTGTATTATTTTTTCTTATTTATTTCTCTATTTCTACGTTGCCCTTCAATATCTTCTTCGACAAAAATAAGACTTCGGGCGACACATTCTGGATCGCCCGGAGGATGTTTTGAGCTACCGTAGACCATTGTGAGGATAGCGTCATCTATGTCCTCAATGTCTGCTCTAGCAGCTACTTTCAACAATAAAAATGCGCTTTTTTCGGCTAGCAAGTCCTCTAGATAATCCTCCGGAAATTCTTCATCGTATTTTGCAAAATAACAAAGTTCTTGAAGGATATTTTCATCTAGTTGAACCTGAGTTTTACGAAGAGTTTAAAGAAAAATATGTGAAAATAGTTTCTTGTACCTTTTCAGTTTGTTGAAGGACAAGGCCAGCCTCGTCCAATATATCGTGTAAAACTTCTTTATATTTATCCTTTGCGGATGGAAAGATCAGAACTATGCCAAAATTTGGCACGTTGGTCAGTATAGTATCACATTCTTTCGTCCTTCTTTCGAGTAGTTCCTTTGCTATTTTCCTCTCTTCTTTTTCTCTAAAACATCAAAATACAGGGTGATTTCTGTAAGTCGGTCATGCTTTTGGGGAATGATGAGGGACGTCGAAATATTAATTTTGATATAGGACACTATGGGTCGGAAATACCTCTTACGCTTAAATATACAGGGTGTTAAATTAAGTTTTTAAAGATATTCTTTAATAATTTTTTAACAGTTGAAGCTATCGTTATAAAATTAAGAAAGACACTTTAAATGTAAAAGGAAGAGGTTTTAGTTTCAATCAGTGGCGTAGATGTGATAAGCATCAGGTAATTTTTTCAAAAAAAATAGTACGCCACTGATAATGATAAAAATTTCAGAGTTTTTTATTTACTCCGTTTATTTTCAAGAAAAAATGTCTCTTGCAACTTTCTCCTATCTAATGCCATTTTGTCACAATTTAAAAATAAATATATTTTTTAATGCGAACCTTAAATATGCGAATTACTAAGTGTAACAATTTTATTATTAATGATAAAAAATGTCTAATTTAAATTTATAATTTTTTAAAAATTTATTTAAGGAGCTAATAGTAAAAACTACCAAAGTTACTCAAGGTGTGTAACTCTAACCTTGGCCTATTTAAATTCACATCTAAGTGATAAAGGGAGCTAAAGATGCACATAACACATACTATGTTATGTATGTATGTTAATTTATGCCCTTTATAATTTATAACCATAAAACAGACGAATGATCGCCAACGTGCGGCATAGCATATGGCACTCAAAGAAGAAGATTAATAATTTTATTTATTTTTAAATTGTGACAATATGGTGTAAGTGTAGTTGGAAATAAACCGAGTAAATAAAAAAACTATGAAATTTTTATTTTTCAGTAGCGTACTATTTTTTTTTAATTACCCGATGCGTATCTCATCTACGCCACTGGTTGAAACTAAAACCTCTCCTTTTTACATTTAATGTGTCTCTGTTAGGTAGATTCCTAAATAAAATTTTATAACAATACCTTCCACTGTTAAAAAAAATAGAATCTTTAGTTTTGGCCCGCCTGTAGTTACGCCAATGGGCGTGTGCTGCCAACAGTAGTAGGAGAGCAGTAAAATCACACATGGTTAATAAAACTCATTCGCAACAACTAAACTTTTTACTTTGTTGTACTATTGTTATTGCGGTGTGGACAATTTGTCTCAAGTTTGTCTTGTCAGAAGTCTCCATTTTTTGTGACAAGTTTGTCTTATCTTTGTCTCAAAATCGTGTTTAATTTTTGTCGCCATGGTCTGGACCCGGCATTAGACTATTACCTTATTTCGCGTTGAATGGATTCAGCGGCATCATATCTAACACGTTCCTCATCGGAGAGATCAGTAACTTCCATAGGAGTTCTATCCGTAGACTGTCCATCCTGGGCCAGTTGTTCTTTTTTCAGTTCTTCAGTAATTAATCGGGTCAGTTTCGGAGCATCGGCTCCAAACATCATATTAACCATTTTTCCTTTCTGAAAAATAAATATGTAAAATTAATAGATCGATAGGTATAAAAATTATAAGAAATACTAAATACTGAAACTAGTTATACTGAAGTTCTAGTAAATAAATACAGGGTGGCGCCACTTATACGCCGAAAGCTCCAAGGAGAACGGTAGATTATATCGAAATGAAATTTTGGCAGCATATTATGTAGATTAAATGAAAGCATTTTATAAAAATACTAGCGTGTACCCGCGACTTCGTTCGCGTCGAATTAATCATTTGTAATGGTGATGATAAAGCAAAGCAATAATTTCCATTGACATACAAACTGGATAAAATTTTCTCACATTTATGTCAGCACGAGAAAAAAACAATATGGCAATTTTATTATATAACTTGGTAATATTTGACGGGTAGTTTCATCTCGTTGGAATTTGACTTTCGGAAAATTCGTTTGCCAAAAACAAGCTTTTTACGCCAAACAGTTTAAGCAGAATCGTGGTTAATCAATTACCCAACTTTTTTGGAACACTCTGTGTGATTTAAAAAAAAATCAAAATATGTAAAAAAACCAAATAAATTATGCTTGTCCAAGCGTTTTCCCGCAAGACTAACCGTTTTTTAAATAACAAATATTGCAATATTTGAGGCGTTTTTACCCTCTTGGAATTTGAGATTCGAGAAATCCCTCCTTATCGAACCTCTACACCCCACAGACAATCCGTTTACCAAAAATCAGCTTTAAATGTCAAGCAGTTTAAGCAGAATCGTGATTACTCAATGGTCATATTTTATGAAACACCCTGTATAAATTTATAAAAAAATCTTACAATATGTAAAACAACAAAATAAAATATACGTGTTTAAGAGTTTTTCCGAAAAACCGGTTTTTAAATAAAAAATATTTTAATATTCGAGAGATAGTTTCACCCCCTTAGAATTCGAGTTTCGAAAAATCCCTTCTCATCGAACCTCTACACCCTAAAGTCAATCTGTTTTCCAAAAATCAGCTTTTTACGTCAAGCGCTTTAAGCAGGATCCTGATTAATCAATGACCAGATTTTTCGAAACACCCTGTATACATTTTTAAAAAATCTTAAAATATGTAAAAAACCAAAATAAATATACGTGTTAATAGCGTTTTTTAAATAAAAAATATAGTAATATTTGAGGGGTGGTTACACCCTCTTGAAACTGGAATTTCGAAAAATCCCTTCTTATCGAACCTCTACACCCTAGAATCAACCTGTATGCCAAAATTGAGCTTCTTACGTTGAGTGGTTTGAGCAGGATCGTGATTAATCAGTATGTCAGTCACATAAGGATTTTATATATTAGTATAGATATAGAATTATACAAGGTGTCCCCAAAAAAGTTACACATCAAAGTTATGTTTTTTTCTAATGGAACACCCTATATATTAATTGATTTTCGGATTCTAGGAAAAAAATAAAAGTGAGTTTTATTGAAGAAGCATATACCTAAAATCTAAGGATTTTGACATATTTCACATTTTGAAAAAATGATGAGTAAATTTTAAATTTCGATAACAGCTACCCAAATTTTAGTTAACCTTGTATAGCCTGATATTATAATTATAGTAACCATTTTATGCTAAACCAAATTGAAATTTGGCCAGAAAAGTTATACAGGGTCAGACAAAATTAATAAGGAACATTAATCACTTTAAAAGCAAGTTACTCCTTTATTTTAAATAGAACACCCAGTATATTTTTCCGGTGTTCAATGGGGAATTTTTATTATTATTAAGGTTCAATGGGGAATTTTTATTATTTTAATATTATTAAGGTTGCCTACCCCCCAGACAAAGATTTTCCTAGATATTTTAATTTTTATGATTTTGCGTCAGTATATCTTTATTATTTGAAAAAATCTAGGGTGGCTGTGTGATATACCTTTTGTTAATTTAACAAAAATTAATGATTGTAGAGAAAAATACTCAACGATAACAAAAAGATACACGTTTAAAACATATTTTAATTATTACAGAATTAAAACTAGATATAAACCTATAATTATGTGACAAAAATTAGCTAGATGAAATCAAATGCTCAAAACGCTTCCTTTCCTGTTAACTGCATAAAATGATGAAGCTTCATTATTTCTTACACCGATTTGATCCATAACAAAAATGCATAGACGAAAATGGATTCAAGCAGTTCGACGAAACAAGTGAGTAAACAAAGTGCTCGTTCCATAATCAAAAAGTTATATATAAATAGACATATACTATGAGAGGATGAAATATAATTTGTGCAATATTAATGGTATACTTTTTTAATCAACTAGTGATTAAATGTTTTATGAACATCTAAAATTATAATTATGTACCTTTAAAAAAATTCGTTATAGCCGAAATAGCTCCAATTATGCCCTACTAGCAAAACCGGTGATAAAACTATGCTCGCTACCGTAGTTAAACTCATCTATTTTTTTTAGCTGGAATAATAAATTATAATGCAAGTTAGACCTTCTGAAGATATCAAAATATTTTTTATTTTTTTTAGAATTCCCACAAATTATACTTTCTAACACTTTTAGAATAATTATATACTAATTTTTTCGTTTACTCGCCATTTAAGCCGTGTATTTGTATGTATTCGTTATTTACGATATTCTCCGGCGGTGGCAGCACCGGCGGAGAATGCACCAAGCGTATACTATAATTAATTTACTCACCGATATAAACATCCAAGTAGGTTCACTTTTATTTCGAAATCTGGATAAGCGTGAAATGCCATCTGCCTTTGCCTGTAAAAATATTTTCTATGAATTACATTCTTAAAACCTAACAAGGCTAGGGAAAATAATTGCTTACTTACTACAGCTAAAATTAAAAGGTCGCCTCCCAATTCCAGTTTAATTTTCTTCAAGTTTGCCTGCATTCCCAAACAAGGTCCGCACCATTCGGAATAAATATCTACAACTAAAGTTTATTTCTTAGACAATGCAATACTTTTACAGACATCTTCGAAATATTTACCGATAAGTCCATCTCTTTGTATAAGTTTTTCCCATTCTTCGTCATTATTCACTTCTATTTGCAGCTGAACTGCCTGTCCCTTTTTCGCCATTTCACTTGCATTTGACTGAAACTGACTGAACGTCTATCATTGGCATATGCCTGTTAAATGTAACTATGGAAACTTCAGATATTGATAAAATATTTATAACCCTTGTATTCTTGTTATTGCTGTATGTGTTTAGTATCGGATAGTTCGGAATATGCTTGTAATATATGCTAAACAATGAAACTGGATTCGTAACATGAGTTATCTCTATTTCGAAAAATCTTAAATGGTAAACTTTTGATCTGGACTTTTTCTAATTCTCCATTTAATAAAAATATAAGGTTATCTAAAAATAGGGTTTTTCTTAAATCGTCTTTCATGCTTTCTGTTTTTTCTGAAAGATTGTCTGCTCTTATATCAGTCTCCTAAAATAATAAAAAATAATAATAAGTAGTGATGAGCAGTGATGAGTAGTGATGAGCAAATGAAAGACCAAGACCAAGACTTTCTAGGTCTTGGGCTTGATCTTGTAGCTAATAAGTAGTCTTTGTCTTGGTGTTAGTCTTGCAGGGTCCAGTCTTGGTTTTGGCATCTGTCTGTCTACAAGAATCTTGCAAGTCTTGCATTATTTTAAAAATATTTTTAATAGATGCACTTTCTTCATAGAAAATCTCTAATTAAATAATATTTTTAGTAATTTAATGCAAATAAAAAAAAACTCTTTAAAGAAAGAAATTTCTAATTAATTAGAACAATAATTTTGAAGAAATATGTAATTTTTAATATCACATTAAACGTGAAAAAAATGTAAAATGCTTGGTCTTGGTCTTGCGGAAGTCTTTCACTGGTTGGTCTTGGTCTTGGCCATGCAGATCCAATGTTACTCTTGGTCTTGCTAGTTCTGCCAGTCAAATTTTCTGCTAGTCAATTCTGCTAGTCTTGTGATGAGAGAGACTGATCTTGGTCTTGTTCTGGCATAAAAAGCAAGACTAAAATCAGTTTCTCTCATCATCATAAAAAAGTAGCAAAAATATCAATTGAAGTAAAACCAACTATCTTTTTAGATATCAAAACCAAATCAGCACTTCAGATATAGCGGGTGTTTCTCAAAAGTGGCTCACCGCTATAACTTTTTTATTTCTTTAGATAAAAAAATGAAATTTGGTATGTTAATATATGATATAAATTAGGATCGATTTCGGTCACTTCCAGTTTGACCAGAAATATTTACCTAACATTACGTACCAAAACTTTTGCAAAATAAGAAAAAATATTTTTGTGTTATTGAAAAGTTCATGCCATATCAATCAGTTCAGTATATATAGGCCCAATAAAAATCATTTTGACATATTTTATGATATATAAAATTAACACTCTTTCTACTATTTTTAGCTTATGAATCAAATTTTAAAAATAGTCAGGGACTTTTATTAATCTTTTATATGTCCATTTTTCAGAATTTTAAGAAGACTGCACACAATTCCATGACCAAATTCAATAAAATATGGAGAGATTCCGCCGTTTCAATTAGCAACAAACTAAGACTACTAAGAGCCCTAATTTTCCCCATTGCCACTTATGCCTCGGAGAGCTGGACATTGAAGGTGGCAATGCGACGTAAAATCGATGCTTTTAAAATGTGGTGTTATAGACGGATTCTGCGAATACCGTACACAGCTCACCGTACAAACATTTCAATTTTCGAACAACTGAATATCGAACCTAGACTGTCAACATCAATAAATCAATCATATTTAAGATACTTTGGCCACATATGGAACACCAATGGCCTAGAAAAACTAATTTTGGAGGGAAAAGTGAACGGGAAACGTCCTAGAGGGAGGTCTCCAAAATCGTTGGGTAGACCAAATAAGACGATAATAGGTAATAGTGTCAAAGAGCCAGTACTGCTGCGCAAGACAGAACAACATGGAAAGGCACAATGACATACGAGATATCATAATGCCGCCATACTCTCATAGAGTAATAGGAAGGAGAAGGAGGAGGACCAAACCCAGAAACACGATTATGAAGGTTTTTTCGCAAAAAATTTTGAAAATATGAAATTTTGTGATAAAAAGAATTTGGATTTTTTTTAGTTTTTAGTTAAAACATTATTTCTTGATAGAATGATAACATGTGGCTTAAAGTTACAAGAAAGAAAATCTAGAAAAGATCCAATGGTTCTCAAAATTTAAGCAAAAATCATTTTTTTTTGGAAATTTTGCATCCCTGATAATATTCGTAATTATTCAAGACTCATTCTGTGTAACATTGTTTTATAATAATTTTCATCATCTTAGTCTAAATTTATTTTGACATACACCAATTATTGGTAAAATAGAAAAATGTTGAAGTATTTTTGTATATAAAAGTTTCATAATATGTAACGTTTTTAACTTCAAAATATTTGGAATGTATTAAGTTGCCAATAGCGTTCAGTGATTATAATAATCTTGAAGATCTTTTTTGTAATCCATTAAAGGGTTTTAATTTATACACTAGAAAGTCTATGTCTGACCCTGATTTTACTAAGATGTTAATAATTTACCAGCACCTCTAAATTTATGTACAAAAGTAGAAGTTACCCATAGCAGAAGTTGGATATATTTGCTAAAACTTACCAAAAAGCTGTCTTTAATATCATCTAATTGAATGCACATCTCGTCCCTCTCAATGGTGAAACTTTGAATACTTCTGTCGAAACTATCGGTAAGCCCAATACTGTTTAAAATATCAGATCTTGGCATACTTGTCTCTAAATTATTATTCGGTTTTGGAAAATAACGTTCAATTCTAAACTGATCATAATTTTCATGGGGGCTTTTAGGTCTTGTGTATTCATACGGACTAACTTCTTCATAGGAACTGTTCGATTCAGACTTATTCCCAAGGTTGCTATCCAGATCTGTAATAGTTAGTAATTGGAATACTGTAAGGTCGATAAAAAATGTAGAGTTGGCTTGGAAGTTACAATCGACGAGGGTGTCATAGATTTTCATTTCCAAGCCAACCCTGACTTCATTTTTTAATTCGAAATGAACATGGAGAATACAATTGCAGGATGCTGAGAAGGAAAATCAAATTCTTTCTTCTGAAAATTACCTACATAAAATATAGAAAACATTTCAAAAATTAACACCTAACAGTTTAATGGTTAGTTTTGAGGTTGTTAGTCTTTTCACTAATGGGGGGTATACCGGTAGATAGTTAGGGATAGATTAGAACAAGATCAACATTTAATAGATAGAACAAAATTAAACATAGATAGTATTTTGAAATTATTGACACTTTGTGTTAAAACTACTTATTTTCAAGTAAATAACGATTTTTTTCAACAAGATTTTGGTATGGCAATGGGATCAGCTCTCTCTCCTTTATTGAGCAATATTTTTATGGAAGATTTTGAAAATAATTCAATAAATAAGTTAAAAAATAAAGTTTTTCAAAAAAGCCTGTAATATGGCTGCGTTATGTTGATGATATTTTTGCAATATGGCAACATAACTTTTCTGAAATATACATTTTTTTGGATTATATAAATTCTTGCGAACCTACCTTAACATTTACTTTAGAAGTAGAGAGAGGTAATCGTTTGCCATTTCTTGATGTTTTAGTGTCAAAGTTTCAATAAACTAATTTTAGATGTTTCAAATAAACTAATTTTAGATGTTTACAGAAAACCCACAAACACAGATAGATACTTAAATTTTACATCTAATCACAGTATAAGTGTAAAAAAAGTGTTATAAAAAGTTTATTTATATGATAAGGCAAAAATGTTCAGACGACATTTCAATAAACAGAGATATATAAACAACTTAAAAAATACATTAATAAAAAACGAATATCCACCATATTTTATCGACAAAACATTAAACGAAATACAAACCCTAAATCACAGACACAATGATAACAATACACAATTTTACTTAATATTCCATATATATACGAGGCGTTTCGGAAAAAATAAGAAGGATAGGAAAACAATATAACATACGGACATCTTTCAAAACACAAAATACACATCCATTTTATCACATACTAAACCAATGAATACAGAACAACAAACAAGAAATGTAATATACAAAATACCATTTGAATGCGATAAATTTTACATTGGTGAAACATCTAGACCCTTAAATGTTCGAATTAAAGAACATAAAGATTATTTAAGAAAGGGAGATTTTTACAAATCTCTAAGATTTGTCAGCATTCATGGGACACAGGGCACAGAATAAATTTTAATAATGCCAAAATTATAATGAAAGAAGCGACTAAGAGAAAAATAAAAGAGGTTTTTTTAATACAATCGAATAAAGATAAATGTATTGCTCATGCATCTGTAAATGTTAGTAATGTATGGCAATCGCTTCTTTGATTTTAAAGAACATAACATACATAAATAAACATAACATGCGTAAAAATTAAAAATAGTCATACAGAAAGTTTGGGGCTTTTTGGTTTTACCCTATTAAGTAATTGTTATCAGGTAGTAATTGTTAATTTTGAAGTCTAACTTGGGGGGGGGGGGATATAATGTCATTTTAACAGAACGTCAACGGTTTTTGTAGATGTATATGTTTTAAAAAACTAAAGTGTTCTCGAATAGTTGAATTTAAATATTTTAAATAGTTTTTTTCTTTATTATTTGTATTTTTTTTGCTTCTGACGACGGAAAGGGATAAACTTTTCGAAACGTTAAGCATTTTTTTGTTTGTTAGGCACATATGTATATCTGTAAATTTAACTGCTGACAAGTAGTTTCCGTTTGGATTAACGCAGCAGTGTTTACAAAAAAAATAACTATTTTATTTTGTAGATTTTCTTGCAGTGGTGAAATACCCATATAGGACTCTTTACGTCTAATTAACCTTTTCAAGGTAATCATGTGAATGATTTTTAAATTTAAACTATCGAAATATTGGCTCTCTTATGGAATTTACAACGACGTCGTAAAAAGGGTTCTTAAAGGTCTGCGTATTGTAAATACACATGCCAAATTTGATCAATTCTGAACAATCCGAATTTTAAGTAAGTCATAACGTAATTTAGAAAAAACTGCATCTATTTTTAAATTAAAATTGAACAGGTACAAATGCAAAACCCGACTAATCTCATCATACCTTAAGTTGTCAACCTATAATTTTGTCAAAGTAATTTTATAATATTAATTTAATATTTAATAGTTTTAATATTTAGTATTTATTGTTGGGTTGTGTTAAAGATACACAAAAAATTACTGTATGCGTTATTATTTGGACATCGTTTGTTATATTCAGTTACAATTTAGCATATGTTTAGGACTTGGTAATCTCAACAAATTAAGCTGATTACTTAAAAATTCCTATAAAATGG